TTTTTTTTTTTTGTTTTTTTTTTTTTTTTCATTTCTGCTTTTGACAAACTGAAGAATGAAACTCCACTTCTCTAAACAACACTTTACTAATTCATTGAAAGGGCGCTTAAAAGCTGCCCACTGCTCCCCCTTGGTGATGGGTTAAAAACCGAGGCTCAGTTTCGTTGTATCCACGTGGTACAATGACAATACATAACATAAAAATAAAGTATGGAGAATGGAAGGAAGATGATAGAAAAGGTGGGGGCTTTCCGAAAGGAGGCGCTGATTCCCAAGTGTTTGACTGATGAGAAATGAGCAACAATTTATTTAAATGTTGACCAAAGATGGTTGCACTGCTGAAGCCTCAGAGCCAGAAGATGTGTCAAATGCAATGACAGTGGCTTGTACTCAGCTTTCTTCCCACAGTCAATGTGCAGTTAGACTAGAAGCTCTAAACTGTGTAAACATTGGTCTTAGTTTTGGGTTTTTGCTTTTTTGTGTGAACGTTTTCATTATGTCATTTCCAAAGATGGAATACAACAAATTATGTTTACTCCAGTTACTGTAATTCAGTATTTTTTGTGTTTAATTTGAATTTTTTGTAGTTTCTACTTAACTACATTTTAACTCAAGTGCTTTACTTTGCTACATTGGAAAAAGCACCCGTTACTAAGTAAAAAATTAATGTGGGGAAAAACAGTCAATAAAAGAAAATTGCGTAGCCAGATAACGTTGAATAAGAAACAGGTTCTAGCCTGTCATTGGATGATGGCCGGTGACGAACTAAAAATGGAGTTTGAGGATTGCCAAGCAGAGAGCACCTGTGGATCAGGTCACTCAGAAAGTGAAGGGAATCCTTGGCCATACATCAGGCAGCTAGTTAGTCCCTTGTTTTCATTTGAAAACAAGGGACTCACTTTTAAGTTTGCTCAGAGAGAATTTGCAGTTTAATCGTTCAAATGGATTGTAGAATTCTCAACTTATACCACTTGTGCTTGAATTGTTGATTAAAAATAACTAGTTGCAGATTTATCATGAATGACTCGTAATAAGTAAATTTAAAAGTAGGGATTTTTTACTTTTACTCAAGTTGATTTTTAGATTAGTCCTTTTACTTGAGTAGAACTCAACCGAGGTAGAGATACTTTTACTTAATTATATTTTTCAGTACTTCTTCCCACCTCTGGTCAATTCCTGATGGACTCATGCCTGTGAAGTCTTCCCAACTTTTGCCTGGGACTGACCCAGAGGAGGGGCTCCTGCTCCTCTCATGACCTTGTTCAACTGTGGAACAATGTGGGGAAAAAATCAATAATGCCAATTAAAAATATAGTTGTAGCAAACTACAAATTTAGTTTGTAATCTAAAATATATTTAACTCTACACACGTGGTTTTAGGCACAGTCTACAGTCCATTTTCCTATTTGTTTAAAAGTTTGTTCTTATGGTGACCCTTGTTTCAAACCCAAAGTCTCTGCTGTGTCAACACTGTGAATTATTGATGGCATTCTTTTAATGCCATGTATCTGTTAATGTTTCTTAATGTTTGCAGTGTGACCAGATGTAATTTAAATAGGAAGTAGTTTGATATCAGAGATTTTAAGATAAGTGGTAGCTATCATGGCTCTCTTCAGAAGGCCACATGGTAATGATGGTTTGAGCTTCAAAAGGACTCAAAATTGTCACCCTCAGGGGATCATTCTTGAGAACAGATACAACTGGTTAAACAAAGAAGAACAAAGTCCTGAAGGCCTGTGAACTTTTTAAACACGCATTTTACATAATTAATTTGATCATAATAACAAATTTGGCAACAGTAAAATGGTGTAAAGTGTAAAGTTCTTAAATTTCCCTTAAAAAAAATCAAACTTTATCCAAAGTCTAAGCATTTCTTTTTCATTCATCTACATCATGGTGTATATTAACATCCAAATCAACCTTTATTTTGTGCTTAAACTAGCATGTAAACTGCAATGTACTTTACCTGTTGTAAATAGAATTTATAGTTAGTTACCAAAGTGTGTTAAAGCAAAGTGTGGTGAACCATAAGCTGTTATCTAAGTGTGTTAAATAATGGTCTGCTGGACAGGAGTAGGTACTCCTAAAAGTTTTTTTACAATGTAGGTACATAAAGGATGAGGTCTGTCTCTCATCAAGTATGGGAATCGGATGAACTTTGCCCTGGGAGTAAAACTTAAAGAAAAAAAAATTGAATTGCTGGGATGATTTTCCTCTTTAATTAAAGCCACATCTGCATAGTTTTGTTTTCTTGAGTGCATTAAGTATTGCATCAAATAGGCTCACTCAAAAACATTAAAAAAAACTCCTGTGGTCAACTCAATATTTTTTTTAGCCTACACACTCAGTTTTTATCTATAAAATCAATATCCATTATGTTAATTTCTAGTTAAATTAAAATTATTTTTGCCTGAAACACTGCGTTCCTGACATTTATCAATGCACAGATGGTAGTTGGTGGTTTTCAGCTGTGCTCTTTAAATCAAACAGGCCGCCCCCATCTCTTGCAGCTCCTCCCCCCTCTGCATGTCTTCTACACTCTTGTCTTTCTCTCACTGCCTTCTTCTCCGCCGTTGCTTATTGGCTTGCCCATGCTCTCCTTTTGTTTGGTAATTTAGCTGGGTCAGATACAGGCTGTTTCTCTGAAAGAAGGACTTAAAAAGAAAAGAAGTGAGTCCCTAACGGTGTGGGATGGAGAAGCATCCGGGTTCTTTGTGTACAAATCCTCATGTGAGTCAGCCTTAATTCCCCTATTGCTGTTTAGAATTCCTTTGTCATTTTTTTCCCGTTCTTTCTCCCTGCCTGCCTCCTGCATGCTTAGTTACTTATCCTTCATTACCATGTCATTCTCGTACTGTAGCTTGCTGCATGAGAAGAACCACCACACAGTGATGCCAGCAGCTGATGCTGTCTTGTGATGCTACAGTAGAAGCCATATTGTGTTGGAGCTGTGTGAGTGCTAGTGGATTCTGAAGGTAGTGCAGGAGGGCTGTATTATTATCTATGGGTCAAAGAGTATAATACAACAAAAACTAACAGAGATGATCGGTGATTAGTTAAAAATCAAAATCAAAGTTGTGAAACTGTCTTTATGCAAAGGAAGTAACATGGAAGTTACTTCCTTTGCAGAAGAATGACCTGAAAAGAACCACACCTGACAACGTTGTACTTTTTACTCGCTGCGATGGGGAGCAGAGAGACCAACAGCTTCGCAGAGCTGGCTCACCTGAGTCCCAAAGTGTATGAGGACTGCAGCTGCTTTTATTGAGAAAGTTTCACAAGTACTGGGCAGTTGTTTTTTTCTTTAAGTTTTACTCCCAGGGCAAAGTTCCTCCGATTCCCATACTTGATGAGAGACAGACCTCATCCTTTATGTACCTACATCGTAAAAAAACCTTTCTATGAGTACCTACTCCTGTCCAGCAGACCATTATTTAATACACTTAGATAACAGTTGGTTGGTTTAACACACATTGGTAACTAACTATAAATTCTATTTACAGATTCACTGTATTTTCCCACTCTATAAAAGCTTTAGTAATATGAAAACAGATTTTTTTTTCTCTAATTATAAATATAGCACATCACATATGCTGCTCTTGAGTACCTTTCCAGTTTTTTGCTTCAGCTGAGTTTCTTAATTTTACTTGTATTTTGTGGAATTTTTCTTTTAAATGCACACAAAGTTTGGATTGGCTTTCTTCTGCTGTTTGTCTGTGTCACTGTGTTGACAGATAAATCATTTGAGCCCAAGTTTATTTTATATAAAATAATGACAGCTCAACTACAGTACAGTTTTCTGATAGAAAAAACATATACTGTATGTAATTAAAAATTGATTCATATATGAAGGTAAAGACCTTAACCATTACATGTTTTTTCATTAATTTATGTCTATATGACTATATATATATATAGAATATATATATATTCCAAAGAAAGGCCTTAAAAATCTATCACAACACTAAAGCCACAACTTAATAACTTCCAGGGACAAAAGTGTATATATATATATATATATCACAGTGACAGAGGACAAACTACAGACACACGCGTCCAACAATGAGCATGATGAGATGCTCACTTCTCACATGACTTTTTTACTCTGGGCCTTGTGACAGTTTCATCCTCTGCTCATGTAGCTGCTGAAGTTTTTCCTTCGGAGCTCCTGTTATCATTAATGGACATCTTGGTAGTAAAACCTATAGTATGTTACTGTGTGAAGTGATTATCACTATTAGTTAAGTTAATAATAAAATATCAGTGAATGGCAAAGTGTAAAGAGTGCGTTGGCACATAGGAAAAACCCCCACAAAAAACAACATTTCTGCTTTCTCTCATTTTTCCAATTTTTATGTCAAACTATTTTTTTTAAAGTTTTTTTGGGGGGGGGTTGTGGTGATTATTTATATTAAAATACTAAAAACATTAAGTCAGTGGGCTTGTGGGCTCTACTAAATATACACATTTACGCAGCTTGTATATTCAGGGTTCTGTTCTGGACTTCTCTGAGTCCTACACATTGGTTACTTTCCAACTTGGAAAATTCCTCTCTTTCTTTTTCTATTGTTTTTGTTATTAAATTCTACCCCTCCAATTATATAATTTAACTCTTCTGCATTCATGCACTTTAATGCCACCACAGCAGTGTACAATTCAGAGCAAAGAACATAGTAAATCATTTGAAATGTTTTTAATTAGTCCAGATGGATTAGTAGGAATGGAACACATTATGGACTTTTGTATCTACATCTGAGAACCCAGTTCTTTTCCTGTAAGCCTTGTTTGTTCATTCCCATGTCATTGACCCCTATGTTCAACAGTCTTTCCCAGAAATGCAGCAGAATAAATCAGACCTCAGTCAGTCTGCATCAGACGTTTGGGATATTTCTTTAGATTCCACATTCTAAACCACTAAGGAATTTGAGGTCCCTGTGGTTTACTGCTTAGCTGCAAGATAGTTACCATTTATGTGAGTATGCCTGACTATGTTGTGTTGTGTTGAAATCTTTTATAACCAGAGGATAATTTAGGTACTTAACTCGAAGAAGGCTGTTGGAAGGCATTTACATCATTAGATGGCAGCATATATCACTAAAAGTTTTATTCTTCAGTGCGTGTGAAGTACAATGACAAGCTAGGTTTAATATATCTACGGGTTCTGATGGTGATCACACAAATGTCTGAAAGATCGTACCTCAGAAGCCACAACAAACATAGGTGTATTTATTCAAGTAGGTCATCAGTCGACCCGGAGGAAAACACAATGTGGAATAAAAATGCTTAATATATATTATTGGTGTGTTGCAACTAGAGGTGTCAAGTAATAGATAGATTTAATAGAATAGACACATTTTTACCACCAAACAATCTATCGCAGAGAAAACAGAAGAATTGCAATATTTAGAAAATATTATACCAAAATATATTTGCATTCTTTTTAGTGCACTGCAAATACACTGAAAGATCCTCTACATGTATTTAACCTTTGACAAACTATATCTAATCAATAACAGGCAGTAGTTTGATCCAAAACCATGAAGTTTCTGTCATGTTTAATCACTGCCTGTCTGCAGTACAAGCATTCAACAGACTGCTAATTAGTGGAATCCTCACCCTCACCCTTTACTGAGAAAGAGTAACACAGGCGAAACTGAATGATAAAAACATGCTTGGCATGTTCACAGGAGCCACCTCTTTAAGGTTTGGGCTTGAACCATACCTGCCACGTTGAATCTGTTGTGTAAAACGAGGGTGGAACTCTGTATGGGTACATTCTTGACAACTTGTAGATCATGCAGATATCATTGTTCTCTGTCTTGTGACGTTGGCAGATACAACGGAAGTTCTTTACACTTATTATTGGTGTTTTTGTTGTCCGTTCTAATTGCCCAGCCAATGAGTAGAAAGTTTATTTTTATGGATAAGAAAGAGCTGAATGGCATTTCATTCTTTTCTTTTTTTGCATCCTTTCATTTCTTTTTTAGGACACTGTAATATTTGTCCACATGAACAAAGCTTCTTTAAAAAATAATGCTGCTGTTAATTGTCATGTGGCAATAAATAAATTACTTGGTGAGAATCACTTTACAACTCAGCACTACATTAGAGCATGTTTTTTTTTTCCACTCAATGCAAAGCTTAGTTTTGTTGTGTCTTCATGCAGCAAATGCACACTGGGAAAGCCCAAGTGAGTATGACCAATGTGTGTTATGTTCAGAATAACGGATTGTCATCTTGTGCTTTATGTCATTTTAACCAGATCTCTGTGTCTTTTTTTCTGTTTTCTAGGAGGTTTACTATCAGAGAATGCAAAGAGTCCGAGAAAAAATGGAGAGAGAAATAATGACACAGCCAAATCCTGTAAGTCCCGTCTTTGTCTTCAAAGTTTCCTTCGTAGAGTCCAACTAAAACAAAGTTGTTTCTGAGTGTGTTTGTTGGCTTCATCTTCTTTGGCTGCAGTATAAGAGGAAGGTCAGAGTGTGTGTGGCAACATGCAACAGAGCAGACTACTCCAAGCTGGCCCCCATCATGTTTGGGATCAAATCTCACCCTGATGATTTTGAACTGGAAGTTGTCGTGCTTGGTTCACATCTCATTGATGACTATGGGTGAGACCACTGGACCGTACCGGCTTGAACTCTTCATGGCTGATCGTTTGTTTTTATGGTATTCATCTTCTTTTTCTCCCAACTTTTCAATTTGCAGGAACACATTTCGGTTAATTGAGCAGGATGACTTTGATATTGGCTCCAAGCTGCACACCATTGTTAGAGGAGAGGATGAAGCAGCTATGGTAGAGAGTGTTGGGTTGGCATTGGTGAAACTTCCTGACGTACTGCAGCGGCTCCGTCCCGACATCCTTGTAATCCATGGTGACCGCTTTGATGCTCTTGCTCTGGCAACTGCTGCAGCTTTAATGAACATTAGAATACTTCACGTGGAGGGGGGAGAGGTAAACATTTGTCTGTTTTCATTCTGTCTTAACCTCCCTTTGTTTATTTACCCTTAGAAAAGGTAACCTTTTTCTGCTCCAAAAGATGATTATTAACTACTCAATGTTAATGATATATATCACATCTGCTTTACACACAGAAGGTCCTAGGTAATGTAATAATTACTTTGGATAAAGGTGTCTGCTAAATTTTTTTTTTTTTTTTTTACCTTTTTATTCGTGCCACACTTAAGAAAATGCACAGTTTTATTATTTTAGTTATTCATTGAGAATAGCAGCTCTGTGGACATAACATTGTTTTAAATAAAGGTCAGTGAATCAGCATTATTCGCTGACAAAGAGGAAACACTACAGAAATAATAATGGGAACCACTGCATTATAAGAAGCTCTAAGGTACAGCGTCTACTTAGCTCTGCTCTCATGTGACCCATGAACTTATTAACATAACGTGGTTGTGCTTCTTTTTACAGATCAGTGGTACAATTGATGACTCGATTCGCCATGCCATCAGTAAACTGGCCCATTACCATGCCTGCTGCACACCCAGAGCAGAGCAATATCTTATCGCCATGTGTGAAGACCACTCACGCATCTTGCTAGCTGGCTGCCCTTCATATGATAAGCTGCTGTCAACTCATCACAAAGATAACTACATGGATATCATCAAGAGTTGGCTAGGTAAGCAACCAGAAATGTAATGAAACATCACTGTGCGGGTGTGTCTGAGTGGACCTGACTTGTGGTATCCCATGTTGCAGGTGCTGACGTGCAGGACCATGACTACATTGTAGCTTTGCAACACCCAGTCACCACAGACATCCAGCACTCAATTAAGATCTACGGACTGATGCTGGACGCACTGGTCTCTTTTAACAAGAGGACGCTTATTCTCTTTCCAAACATTGATGCTGGTTAGCGTTTCAAAACTTCACCTTCGCTTTATTCAAGTTTTTAAATTATTAATATTTTTATAGAATCGAATTCCTCTGACAGCCCTTTTGCTATAAACAGGTAGCAAGGAGATGGTGCGTGTAATGCGGAAGAAAGGCATCGAGCAGCACCCCAACTTCCAGGCAGTGAAGCACATTCCGTTTGAGCAGTTCATCCAATTGGTGTGTCATGCTGGCTGTATGATTGGAAACAGCAGCTGCGGAGTACGTGAGGCCGGTGCATTCGGCACACCAGTGGTTAACCTTGGGACCAGACAAACAGGCAGAGAAACGGGTGAGAAAGACAGGAACATGCATCTACTTCTAATAACTCTTTGACTTGATTTATATTTGAATCATATATATGGGAATTCCAAATCAGGTGTAGTTTGTTCCTATCATGTTTGTGTCACTTCCAGGTGAAAATGTTCTACATGTGAGGGACGCTGATACTCACAATAAGATCTACCATGCCCTGGAGCTGCAGTTTGGAAAGCGATATCCCTGGTATACCAGATGTTCCCTATTATCTGTCTGACTGGATCATGCTTTTTAGCAGAAGAAACAATACTCATAATTAATTCATACGTTGTTGATTTTAAGCCTTTTAGATAAGTGTGTCGAAAGTTTGACCAGAAATACAAAAGGGTTTTTGTTGCTTTTATATAACAGACATTTCACAATCAACAATAACTTGAATCTTCTTAGGACTGATTTGTGTCAGAACCATGTGACATCTTAAAAGTATTTTTTTCTTTTCATTACATAGATTTTTGACAGTTATACAGTTACTTAATAAATCCTCTAAAGATAATTTTATTTTTCTTCCCATTAGCTGCAAGATTTATGGTGATGGGAGTGCAGTGCCTCGTATTCTCAAGTTCCTTCGCACCATTGACCTGGATGAACCCCTGCAGAAGACATTTTGTTTTCCCCCAGTAAAAGACTCCTTTTCACAAGACATCGATTACATCCTGGAGACACAGAGTGCTCTGTCTATTGACCTGGGGGGGACAAACCTGCGAGTGGCAATTGTTTGCATGAAGGTACGCTGCAGTAGTAGTGTTTTTTCTTCTCTAAAGTTTTAGGATCATTTATGAACATTAACTTTGGATAATTGTGAGTCTTAATTCACTTTCCAGGGTAAAATTGTGAAGAAGTACACCCAGGCCAATCCAAAGACCTATGAGGACAGAATGCAGCTCATATTAAAAATGTGTTTTGATGCACTGCGGGATGCCGTTGGCCTGAACTGCAGAGTACTAGGTGTTGGTATGTAGGCAAAATCAATCATTACTTTTTTATCTTGTAATCACACATAAAAATGCGAAACTCCTGAATGTACCTTTATTTTACACTTCCTCTTCCAACCTGTTTGTGAAGAGTCGCTGCATCAAATCATCTGCCTTGTGTCAATCCCTGTCCTCTGTCTTTTTTTAGCATGTTGATCATGCCCTGTTCATTCTCCATACTGCTTACAATTTAGGACATTTCAATTTTTTCCATCATGCACACAGAAATGTGAAATAGTTCTGATACAGTATGTGCTCTATATTTCAGGAGTGTCCACAGGCGGACGTGTCAACCCCCAGGATGGCTTAGTCCTACACTCAACAAAGCTCATTCAGGAGTGGTCATCCGTAGACCTCAGAACACCTATTTCCGACGCCCTGCACCTCCCTGTCTGGGTCGACAATGACGGAAACTGCGCTGCACTGGCTGAGAAGAAATTTGGCCACGGCAAAGGAGTGGAAAACTTTGTGACAGTCATCACAGGCACAGGTGAATAGGAAGGTTTGAAATGGTTCAGGGCTGAGTAATTATGTTGGAATGTAAGTTAATAAGCAGCTTAAGTCTGACTAATAATAGAAATTATATTATATCTATGGTTCTTAGAATATAAAGTACACCTAAACCCTCCTCTTACTAGAAAGCAGCAAAAAAAAAACAGGTTAACGTGAGTGTAAACTAATTTCAGAGTCACAAACATAAATACACTATTGGCTTCTTTCAGAAAATACTCTGAGTTACATCTGTTTGTTCTTTGTTTTCTTGATGTTTTTTTTTTTTTTTTTTTACCTAAATTGTGCGGCTGCTTTCCTGCTTTGTTTAACAGCTGGAGGTGATATTTTTTACGACAGGTACATTTTTGTGACTTTGCAGGTATTGGAGGAGGGATAATCCATCACAATGAGCTGGTCCACGGCAGCACCTTTTGTGCTGCAGAGCTGGGTCACATCATGGTTTCATTAGAAGGTCCAGAATGTTCCTGTGGCAGCCGTGGTTGTATAGAGGCCTACGCCTCTGGTATGGCCCTGCAGAGAGAGGCCAAAAGACTGCATGACGGTGAGTATTTGTCTCACAGAGTTCACAGAGCAGAATTGGGTGTGTATCAGTTGTTGCTCAAGGAAAAATGAAAGAAAGGTCTTTCACCACGGCATTGTCATTGTAGAAGAAATACTTTTGGCTTTCAACTTAATCAGTAGTTGGCAAGACTGAAGTCTTTATTGTGTTTGACAGCTTTAGCCCCTGATACCACTCCTGATTTAACCCATGGAAAACATTTGCATGGCAGCCATGTGACTAGCTTTGTCTTTATTTAAAGTGGTTTCAGTTGTGTCCTATCTGTACTGAAACACCAAAGGGTTTTCAGGCAAAACAGAGCCAAAAGTCTTTATTTATTTTCAGTTTATTGGAAGAGAAATGAAAACAGAGCAAAATGAAAAAGTAAAACAAAGCAAAAAATCAAGTCGTTGTGATTCACATACAGTAGCTGTGGTTGTGGATAATGTCCTATTTTCATGTTTCTGTGTCTCTCAGAGGACTTGCTGAAGGTGGAAGGTATGGACATGAAGCTTTCAGAGCCAATCACTGCTGCCCACCTCATCACAGCAGCCAGACTGGGGAACTCCAAAGCAGATGCTGTTCTACATAAGGGTAAGTGCTTTAACAAAGCAATTTAAACCACAAACACAACACAAAAACGCAAAAAAATCAAAACATGGCCTTCTCCTAAGAAAAATCCTTAAATACAGCAAATGAATACATACACTGTAGGATATTGATTGTCTAATTATCAATGTCCACTGTCAGTGTGTCAGCACGGCAGTAGGTACATGTGATTGCACACTTTTCAGCTTTTTTCTATTACATTATGTTCATCTAACAGAACACAGAAATTAACAATGTTGCCATCCTATCTTGTGGTGCAGTACCTCAGTGGTTATTCTTGAGCATGTTCTTTCTTGTTTTAGATTGTTAAGATAACATTGAAGGCCAACAGCAAACTTATTTGTGTATTCCCATGAGTATTAAAACTTGAAAAATCCTTTTTACAATAGATAGGTAGATAAATAGATCTCTGTTTGCACAAATATGTTTGCTGTGGGCAAACACACCTTCAGTGTTATCTTAACAATCTAAAACAAGAAAAAACAAGAACCAGAATAACCACTGGGGTACTGTACCTGAGTGGTTATTCTGGATCATGTTTTTTCTTGTTTACACATATTTGTGTATTCCCATGAGTATTAAAAAACTTGAAAAGAAATCTTTTTTAATGAATGAGTAGAACATAAAAATGTTTAAATGCAAATAATTATGAGTGAACTATGGACAGTTATACTATTGATAAAGTTATGTGATCAGTTGTCAGCCATACTCATACTCAACATCAACATTAGTTGTTATGAATTGTCAGTGAATGGATACTGACTTTAAAAAGTGGAAAAATAACACATTTTCCTGTCTTTATCTTTGTGTCTGCAGCCAGCACAGCTCTGGGAGTGGGCATCATCAACATCCTCCACACAGTCAACCCCTCGCTCGTCATTCTGTCTGGAGTTTTGGCTTCTTACTACCAAAGTTCGGTCCAGCGCATTGTCAGCGAGAGAGCACTCTTCTCTGTTCAATGTGTTAAAGTTACCACATCAGACTTGGAGGACCCTGCATTACTTGGGGCTGCTAGCATGGTGTTAGACTATGCCACAAGAAGAACGTATTGAAGGATATTATTTGGTTTTACTACACACCACTGTCTATCAGTGTGGATTTACTGCCTGAATAAATGCATATGAGATGAATTTCACATGTTGAAATGGTGAGCATTGTAGCATTGTAGCATTGTGTAAATGTTAACCACATTTCTGCTGATTGTTGATCATTTTAGTATGTTATAGTATTTAATGCAAGCTCATCAGCCTATAAGACTGAATTGTTTAATTATACTCTTTGGTGCGGAGTGGGCTGATTTGGCTGGCCAATCTTAAGAATTTTTGTCTACTATTCTATACAGGAAAGACATGACAGAACTGACCCACTTATATTGTATTTAAAAGTACAATAAGATACTGACTGAAAATATTCAATATATCAATACATTCTCCTATGTTGTATTGGACATCTGCCTTGTTAGTATTTTTGATTTGACTATCAATTGTTATCCTGTGTTCACTTACAGATTGTTACGTCACATTCCCATGTTGTTATTCATTTTTTTATTTTTTTATTAAGATATAGGAAAGCCCCTGCCATTTATTCAAATGGTTTGAAATAACTGATATTGTCCTATTTGCTTATTTGTATTTGTTTTAATTATGGTATAGGCAACCTCACAATCCATCCATCCATCCATATCCATATTCAAATGATGAAAAAAAAAGCCTGATGTCTGTAACATTTCTTTTATTCGATTACTTCATTGTGCCGTTGTGATTTTGTTCGATTTGGTTGGTTTTTTTGGGCAACCCAACTCAATCTGAGCAACAATTTTTAAAATGAATTGATTTTCTTTTTCTGTTTAACAATTTTTCCAAAGATGTCCTATTTCTTTCCAACTGTCCTTATAAATAATGTATATTGACTTACTTCAAAGGTAATGCAATATAATAAATGTTTAATTTCAACATTTAAAAACTATTTGGTGAATTTGTCATATAATTATATATATATATATACATATATATATATACATATAACTACAAAAATGAAAGCACTTTTTCCTATAAGGCAGGAGAATCTTTTAACGGTGGATCCACTGGTTTTTGTTGTATTGTTCCGTATATTCTGCTGTATGTTCTTATTGTTTCTTAAAACGTTTAATCTATGTACAGCCATTAATATATTTGGCTGTCAAAGTACTACTAGTATTCCCAGTAGAAATCACAGTATATCTACCCTGCTCAGGAAAGCCCAGCATACAAAGAATATATCTAATTTCAATTTACAAAGAAGTCAACCACCTAAACATAACAAATAAGATTACCACCAATGGTACACATGCCATAGTTTGTGAATCATTGATTTATGTACTGTTTATAGCTCTGTGATGGACCAGTGACCTTTCAATGGTGTACCCTTTCTTGGGCCTGATGATCTGGAGATTTTATTTGTCCTTCACCATCATGGTCCCTAAAGTATGGGTACACGTAAATCTTGCAGAAGTTAAACAGTACTGTAAATTTAGGCAAAAAATCCGAACATTTAAATTTTTTTTTTGCAGCAACACACTCTGGACTTCAATGTTAGGACAAGTGTGTTGTACTTGACACCAGAACCCCTTAAGCCTGTCAGAGCCGTTAATTATTAACCACATCTTTGGCAGTGCAGACGAAAAGACTCTATGGACTAAAAGCACACCTAAGACCAATCTACTCCAAACTGCTCTAAAACAGCACCATGTTACTATAGATAATAGACATATTCGTTAAAAAAACAACATGATAACATTTACCCTGGCCGCACAATTCAAGACTGCGGAATTTTTATCACCACCACCTAGTCATGGGACCCGTATGCAGAATATTTCAATGATTTGATTGGTGCAAATTTGAAGCAGCTGTTATATAATTGGTTACACTGGGCTGTCTGTTATCTTTACTGGCTTCTAATTGGTCAAATATCCATTTCCGCTTCGCTTGCGTTTACGTTTTTTTAATCGTCCTTCCAGTTTAGCTTCTTCTCGGTTTCGGTCAATCTCTACACCTGACCACCGGTCTCTTACATTTATCACTTCACAACCGCATATAACATGGATGATTTTGACATGCTAAACACACATTCTGCTGGGAACGGCTTGGGGTCGGAGGAGGACCCTGCTGCAGCGTTCTTGGCCCAGCAAGAGAGCGAAATCGCCGGCATTGAAAACGACGAAGGCTTCAGCATCCTAGATAGTGGAGAAGTCCCCTCGTCGCTTACCAATGGTGGGTGACTGTTTGACCTAGTAGATTCAGTCCACTGCCCTTTTTGCTTTTCTCACTAGTATCCTCTTGTATGATTTCTTTATATAATGAACAGTTGTTGTTTTATTTTCAAGTATTTTATTCAAATAGGTGAATTGAGTGGACGCTAAATTAGCACAGTTGCTAACGCCAGCCCTGCTAGTAAATATGGCTAATGTGAGAATGCTAACTAAATGCTGTTGTGATTACGCCATATTCTGTCAGTGAAAAAACCCAATTCTTTTTGTATTAACAGTTTACTTGTCCGTAATGCCGCGCTTCTATGTAGGTTTTTATTAGCACGTCGTTCAATGTCTTTTTACCTGTCAATATATTAAAATATGTAATAGTTTAGACGATCAGAAATGTAGGATTACAGTAGAGATATGAGTTATATGAAGGTCGCATTTAAACAATTGTTCCTAACTAAACTGTGTGCACAGTATAACTTTAAACCAGCAAACGGGTGAATAAAGGACATTTTTCAAATTACCATGGAGACAAGGAATCACTATAAATATTCATCACAGTATTCTGTGGATCTGAGGTCTAGGTGGTTAAGAGGTCAATCATAAAAAGTTCGATCTTTTTATGATTGACTTCTTAACCACCTAGAAGTTTTGATATTTGGTTTAAATTATCGACTCAGGAAGGAACCAATCTTGTCATGTCACTCTGACTTCCCTGCTCCAGAGGAAGGGAATGGACCTTAATGACCTTTGGCCAGAGCTGCTTCATTTCCTTGAGGTTTCAGCTGGGTTGTTGTTAAGCAACTGTGGTTGTTAGAAAATTGCTGACAGGTCATAAAAAATGAGTGCGTGTGTGTGTAAAATGCAATGCATTCAACCAATGAAGTGTATAATAAAATGTCTTTGGATTATCTAACTGCTTTTTCCTTTGTGTCTTTTGAAGATGGTGCCGTCAACGGAGAGTTCAATGGGGTAACACTTGATTTACTTTGCTTCACAAGGTGTCACTTTGTTCATATTATTTGCCTGGTGAATTATGGTGTAAAGTGCAGAACTTTGTCAGCTTTTCTCCACATTTTTCTTAATTCTACATACAAGGTAATTTGCGTATTCCTAGTATTTTGGTGGTGGAGCTAGTTTCTGTACTTGCATCCCACTTTTGCAATCTCTCCAACTACTATTTCCTGTGCTGTGGTTGCAACATTGCTTCCTTCTCCACTGTCATGACTTTTTCTGTTATGTCAGGAGAAATGTTGATAAAGGTTGGAAGGAGTCCCTAGGTCTTTTCTGTTCAAATCAAAATGAGGACAGCATACTGCTCACACATTGTTAGCACAGAACTAATGCTAACTGTAAAAATAAAATAAAAAATCCTTGTGTTTAAGACATTTGTTTACAACACAGACTTTCTTGTCCTTCTTTCCCAGGAAAGCAATGGTCCAACAGATGCCTATGCTGCAATCTCCAATGCTGACCGGCTCCAGGCTGAACCTGAAAGTCTACGTAAATGGAGAGAGGAGCAAAGCGAAAGGCTTGAGGTGCTGGGTAAATCTGTTCAGAGTTTTTTTTTTTTTTTTGTCAGAGTGTGGAACAGACCGTACTGTTTTGGACAGGGGGAATGACCAAGAGGTCTATGGCCATGTTTGTAGGGCAATGATACCAATATAGATACTGATTCAGACAACCCTCTGATCTGCTTGTTATTTAATATTATCCTTGCCTGTCTTATTCCCAGATGCCAATTCACGTCAGCAGGAGTCCGAGTGGAAGGAGAAGGCCAAGTTAGAGCTGGACGAGTGGCATTCCAGGCAGAACGAGCAGTTGGAAAAAACCAAAACCAACAACAGGTACTGACATCCTGAAAATGACTTATAACAGGACCTAAAGTTGGTGGAATAATGGAAGGTCATAACTTCATACCTGCAGAAAATAGAACACTACTATCGTAAGACCTCTTTATTAGTAACTAAATGTTTAGTAGAAAACAATGTTGCAATTAAAATTTAACAACACAGTAATTCAAAAATTATTATAAATGCATACTACTGTCAAGAATGCTCTATGAATTGTGTGGCTTCTGTTAGATCTTTTCCTCCACACAAGTGTTTCAAGTGTGGTTTCGTACTGCACTGTGATGTAGCTCTGCAGCCTTATTAATAATGAACCACCAGCAGACATGACACCCAGCTCCAGTGACAGCTACCTCTGTCTACTTGGCTCAATAATGACTTTTATTTCTTTTATAATTGCAGCTGTGACAAAATAAGACATTGTGTCTGACTAATAATCAATCAGAATTACTGAACATGTCATTTAATTGATATCTAACCGTTTTGGCTGAGGCTGCATAAGTTAAGTACTAGGGATGCACAGATATTAAATTGTTGGCCGAAACCGAAAATAAGGAAACAAAGGCTGATAACCGAAACAATGAAAGAAATTATTGTGCCAGTTATTAATACCATTGCATCTATGACTGTGTACTAAACCTCAATAAAATCAACAAAGGAGTGTTAAATGCATGTCATTTTCCTAGTCAGATAGTATTGTCTTATTTAAAAAAATTAAAAATCAAATCAGGTTGCTGCCACTTTTGTAATTAACATAACATAGTTCTTTAATTTAGTCTATTTTAAAATGCTGTGTATCAACACCTGTGTGGAGACAAGACAAAGCTTGTGAAGCCACTCACTGACAAAGTGTGGCAGGAGTTTAATCAGATGTAATCGTGCTCCTCGGGGCATTGCTAGCTCCATGGTAACCTGTGATGATGTAAGCAGCTCTATTCTCCATTTTACCACTGTCTTTGTTCTCTCTTGCCTTCTTGCTGCTCTGTCGTTGTGGCGGATGTTGGTCCAGGGTGTTGGATGAAGACTTCTACAAGCAGCCCTTCTCTGAGCTCATTGGTTATGTGTATGTTGCTCCAACTAACATCCTCATGTTCATTTATTTTTCACATACTCATGAGTTGTCAACATCTAACCACTAACATCGTGTCTTTTCCATCAACTATGACATCAGATAACTCCATCTATGTTTTGGCTCCATCCTTTTCTTTGTCACGTTTACCTTCTGCTCTCATTAGTTACTGTCCCCCTCCTCACTGAGCTTGACGCTATTTGTCCTAATTGAACACCTTACACCACATTACTGTGTATACCCCACACAGTATACTGTAAACCTCAGTCCCATTCCACAAGTCTGCATGCCATTTGTGAGTGGATGCTTGTGAGTTTACATTGCAGTGATGGTTATAACCGCATGCTACTACACAGTAACTGCCCGGCCACTTCATTGTGTTATCACTTCATTGACATTCCACTCCATTTCAGTCATTCCAGCTCTGTCCTGCATCTTGAAATTTACACTGACTCAGTTTCCTCACTGTTATTACTGGCTTACATTAATTGTGTACTTATACAGAAAATGTTTTTTCTACAGCTTTTGTCTTTGTGACCTAACCAGTGTTATCAGCATACCATGCTTGTAGACGTGTTTGAGGCAGTTGTGTGTTTATATGAACATTGCTTTGGTGAATGCGTAGCTATCTTTTATCTTTAATCTTTGGAACTGTCTGATGAGAACCTGACTCACATGATTTGGATTATAGCTGTAATTCTCTTTTTTACTGAACCATTCTTGTAGATTTCGGTGTAATGTTTCACTTTAGAAAAATTCCGCTGCTCTCACTTGTTTTCCGAATTTTTAGTTAATGTTAAAAACCACAGTTATGTTTTTCAACACCTGGTATGTAGCGGCCATTCTCTGGCCCATAGGTGGTGCCAAGTGGTTTTATACAACCCTTACCGTGTAACCCAAACTTTTTTCCACAAACGATGAGAACTACATTTGGCATAATAAGTGATTATCCACTAAACATAAGACATTCACGTCGTTTGCACTTGCAGTCAAAGCCCTGCAGACCTACACATGACTGTGTCATTGTGTAAGCTTGTACAGATACAATGTTTGAACTCCACCACTGTTCATGGTATAGATGCACAACTGCTTCCTAGAGTACTCAGACTTGAAGAACTGTGCGTTAGCCGGCGTGTTGCTAATGTTGCACAATGCTGCACAAGCTTAGCTATCAAGCAGCCAGACTGTGTAGCCTTTGGTTTTTTATTTTATTTTCCTTGGAATGACAAAGTCTGCTTTAGTTAGAGAAATTCTTTAATTGTTTTGTAGCAAAACAAATTCTCTCTCCTTGACTGAGGTGATTGAATCAAAGTTCTTTTAACTCCCCTCCCTTTTTTAAGGAATAAATGCCTATGTTAAATAGTTTACTAGTGAAAGTAATAAACATCTCAATTCTTTATCTTAATGTCAGTAGTGTCTGACCTTTACAGATGGATAGATGGAAAGCAGCCAACTGAGAAAACATAAGAAAAAAAAACCCTGAAGACTTTAATGTAAGGAAACATAAACCCTGACGCAGAAAAACCTTTAATAATAATGTCCACCTTAAGACGCAGCCTGCTTGTGTAAATTCACACTTTCCTTTGTTTCCAATTCAATACTGGTTCATCCTGGAACAGAAATTTGAATTTTTGTGTCCACACAAAGCTGAGAAATAAGGAAAGGAGGCGAGAGAATTACGTCATCTTTAAACTTTGATTTCCTGTGTAGTGTAGCGTGACTCAAAAACACCTCCCAGTCAGTGGAATGACAAGGGGCTGAACCAAAGGCTACACACTGGTGCTGCTCTTCCACAGTACAAGAGAAGGAGAGAGAAAGTACAGAAAATGGCACCAAAAAATGCTGCTTTGGCATGCTCGCTTTCAGCATCTGCATTTCGATCGTTTTGTTGTCTTTCATTTTGTCCCCTCCCTTTCTCTCTCTTTCTCTCTTTTCTAAATTCTGACTTGTGAACCTGTTTCTCCTTGTTTCTTTTCCTATGCACCTTAAAGCACACACATTAACCATCCTTGCTACCGCCTAGACCAGTTAAGTAAAAACATGAACAACAGAATTTGCAAGTCCTCTGTATGTTAGACAGGGGTTCAGATCCAGTTTGTCTGTGTGCGTTAGTTCAGCTCCTGTTCTCCACAGATCAGCCAGTCTGCTAGCACAGCAGTTAGAGCCACTGCCTAAAGAGAGCTTTGGTTTAAAGGTTCCCTCTGTGATGTCGTGGTCCCTCTAGTCCCTTGTGTATTTTGTAGTTGGTTGTGACAGTGAGTGTTCATTGGCTTCTCATCCCCATTTTGCTTTGTGTACTGTGTTGTTGAGTCTCTGCCTATGGTTGGGTGGGGAAATAAAAACATTGGCAGTGGAAATTTTACGGTAATGCTTGTGGGTTGGGTGTGGTTAAGATTGTGGCTGTAATTTGTGGCTTCATCTTGAAATCTTGTCTTGTAAGAGTGACGCTGATGCATTTATCCAAGTTTTTTTTTGTTTGTTTCTTATTTTTTGTCCCCGAAAAACAAGTATGATCCACGTCCTGTAGTGTCTGTATTTTTTTTTACGTCACTGCTAGGATGGTGTAAGTTATTCCACGGTGACCACACACTAAATGAAAACTGAACCTACCTCGCCCCGTGTCCCTCTCAAAGAACCTGCTTTTCAGCTGCTGCAGAATGCATGGCTAAAGCACAGTAATACTTTGGGCTTTTAATTATTGCTTTTTATTAAATTCAAGAACAAGTATATGAAAGATATTTTTTTTGTTTCTATACTTGGATCTTGTAGAGAAAGGAGACCATTGTTAATGTGCTACCACAGTGTGGAAGTGGGCAAAGCCTCCCACGGTTCTAAAGAGAACCATGTTTTTAACCACCCTCATCAGACTGGGTTATCACTACTCTGATTAGCTTTGCTTTACTTTTTCTTTTGGATTCCCCATCTATGTTATTTATTTATATACATATACATATCCCCTAATGTTGAAGAGTAGACAATAAAAGGTGAGAACAGAGTTGGGAGCACGTCACAAGTGATGAAGCCATTGTAGCCTGTCTGTTTTTGATGGAAAGGTAAATGTCTGTCCCTGTGTGGTTGTGTGACTGTCCTGCCCTGAGGAAGACTCTGCTGAAGCCACAACAAAACCACAGAACCGAGACATGTTGAGACTTAGGTTGTTGAGATATTTATTTGATAAATATTGCTTGGTAAGATTTGTCATATCATTTAGATTCCAATCAGCAATTTGAACAAAAATAATTTCCTCTAAACTTTGTTGGTGTCTGAAGGCACCGTGTAGCTTCTTTAAGAACCTGGAGTTGTTGATGATCAGCAGAGTATTTGTCAGGGCTGTTCACACCAGTACATGTACACTGACTGTTCTGTACCACATCTCCCCTTCTTCTCATCCCTCCTGTTTTGCGCAGGGCGGCCGAGGAGGCTATGATATCTGATCTAGATGAGAACAACCCCGGCACAGAGTGGGAGCGGGTGGCGCGGCTGTGCGACTTCAACCCCAAGTCCAGCAAGCAGGCCAAAGACGTGTCCCGCATGCGCTCCGTCCTCATTTCCCTGAAGCAGTCTCCGCTCGTCCGTTAAGCGACGACGGGGCCGCACCAAGCATCATTCCATTCTCTCCTGAAATACCACACACACACACCAACACAACACAACGACCAGTGTTGCACCTTGAGTATTTTTTCAAATCATGTCCAGGCTGTGGAGATTATCCATGAGGCACCAGCTCCCCATCCTCTAACCTGAAGGTTTCCACCCGTGTGGTACAGATCCCTCACTACGAACTGCTCTTTCCTGAAGTATAAATGAATGAAGACCTGGTAGACCCTCGTTATGCATTAATAAAACTAGTATCATATGGTGGTCAGTTGTCTTGTGTGAACAGGTAGTAGGGTGGTAGTTTGACACATTCAAGGGAAGGGTTAACGTTTGTTTGGGTCTATCGCTACAGTACAGGCTGTTTGTCATGTATCATTACCATAAAGCTGTACTCTGACTGTTCACCTCAACGTTTTTCACCCGTCACCATTCAGTCATCCAGTAGAACACCTCATGTTTACCCGTTCTGTCTAAAGGATAGAAGAATTCCTGTTGTTTTAAAGGACCAAACAAATCTGTAGTCATTTGAACTGTGTGTGTGTGTGTGCGCGTGTGTAGAGCCTGCGTGTGGCATGTGGTGTTAAATTTTCAATCTATGCATTTCTTTATGAAATCCTCCCTCTACAGGATTTCAACAAAGTCCAGTCATTACAGTATACAGTATGTGACCTGTTAGAGTTTATCCTTTCACCTCAGCAGTGTGTGTATGTACCCTATGTGTACTTTTGTACATATACAGAAGGCAATATATATACAGAATATAAAAAAAAACATTTATGTGACTGAATTGAGACAGTTGTGGTTTAAAAGAAAGTTAATAGCCGGCTGTTCCTTCACCATGTGTGTGCATTGTCCTTTTGATTTCAATATCAGTAAAGAAAAACAACAAATAAAAGTTGTCAGTCTGTCTTTCTTCAGATTGGTTTTCATTGGTAGACGAATCAAGGGCAGACTAAGAACAAAATCTAAGCATCGTAGACTCAGGATTTACTGTTGCTGAAACTGAAACTGAATTATTTGTTTAGCCTCTATCTCACCGCGGGACCTCAGAATAAGTCAACAGTTGCCGCACAATCCTTTGTGGATCATTTTTTTTATATTAGCATTTGTATTTTTTTATAAAGAAATAACTAGATTATTCCATTAAGAGTTGAGGTTTATGACAATAGATAAAGAACCATCTTGACGGGCCAAGGGGTCCACAGTTGTAGTGGTACTCAGTAGTCAAGGCCTTCTTTGCTTGACTAAATGGTATGAAGTAGATCGGGGTGCCCAATAAGTGGATCACAAAGAGAGTGCTGGTAAATCATAAGCATTTAAAACAATACAATTAAAAACTTGAATATAATTCTATTGTGTGTAGTAGTGACCATATACTGTAAGAACTGAACCATACCACATGCATATAATCAGTATCCCAACATATAATGTATGTATAATTATGTTCAGCTTACTGTAAGTGTGGGTGCTCTTGATATAAATCAATACATAGCAATGCAGGACAGCTTTTAATATCAGGAGTTGATAATATGCCTTTGTTTTGTTATGGCTTGAAGGCCAGAGAGAGAGAGGGAGGGTGAGACAGAGGGAGGGAATTAGGAAGAAGGAGGTGTGCCAGACTTGGCTTTTAAATAGAACCATTCTACCTTTTCCACCCACACACCTGAGGGAAACTCACCTTGTTCGATAGCTTCACACAAGAGACCCTTGACTCCTGTTTGCTTCAGATCATACCTTCGACTCTACGACTAAAAAATGCCTCTTCAGTTCGAGCTGTGTCCTGGGAGAATGGTCGGGGGCGACCACCCCTGCTTCATCATTGCTGAAATTGGGCAAAACCACCAAGGGGACATTGAAATAGCGAAGAAAATGATCAAGATGGCAAAGGTAATTATGAGGTTCTTTTTTTAAATATAATGTAAGTACTTTCATGTTTCTTTCATTTTTTTTTTTTTGCTGTGAAATACATTGGAGCACTAGTACTTCCTCCATGACCTTCTTGACAGAATGTCTTCTGTCATTGCAGGACTGTGGTGCTGATTGTGCTAAGTTCCAGAAAAGCGAATTAGAGCACAAGTTTAGTAAGCGAGCCCTGGAACGTCCCTACAATTCAAAGCACTCCTGGGGAAAAACCTATGGTGACCACAAACGCCACTTGGAGTTCAGTCACGTGCAGTACAGGGAGCTAAAGAAGTTTGCAGATGGCATTGGTATCTTCTTTACCGCCTCTGGCATGGATGAGGTAACAAAAAAATGTTTTATCTACATCTGTGTTATCTCTCAGGTCAGGTTTACAGTACAGTAGTCTTCACATGACAGAGGACAAACGATTATGCTGTGACATCACTCTTTGGAAACATATTTGTTTAGCATTTACATCCATTTTCATAGATGGCCGTGGAGTTCCTCGATGAATTGGATGTGCCGTTCTTTAAAGTTGCTTCCTGTGACGCCAACAACTTTCCATATTTGGAGAAAACTGCCAAAAAAGGTACAGAACTGTGTATCAGAAGAAGTCAATTCACTCTGCACTGCGTGTGTTCCTACAGTGTTCACATGAAGACAAATACATATTGACATTTAGAAGGACAAGTTAAAGGTTATTTATCTGTCATTCCTTCTGTTTGATCTCCTACGGTTTTAATTATTTGTTTTTCTTGAGTGGTTTAGAAATGATCTGACCTGTTTGTTTTTCATGTATTGAACCACACCTAATGATTTAAATGGGTGTGGTAACAGGAATCACGCTCACTGTCTCTTGCTGGGTTATATAACCCATTTTTATAACAACAATATAAAATGTTTTCTTAATTATTATTATTATATATTATCAATGCATTGTTTATATCTATGTTTTTTATGTTTAGATGGGGAGGGGTAATTATTGGTATATGTCTGGGGGCTGGAACGAATTAATTGGTTTTTAGTTATTTTTAATGGGGAAAATTCGACAGCATATGTATCAATCCACTCATGATTGATACATATGCTGTTGTGGAATGGATTAGACCCATATCTCAAGGTACCACTGTCCTTGCACTTGTACTGGAGATAAATGACATCACTTGTTAAAAATCCTGGTTTCTCAGGTGGTACAAAGTAGAAAACGTTTGAGAACAGTTTGAGGTAACAGTATCATACTCTCCAGCTAGGCGACCACCTAGGCGTTAATATACATAACTTTTTCATTTTTATCCTGGGCCAGGGCGCCCCATGGTGGTGTCCACTGGAATGCAGTCCATGGAGACCATACGTCAGGTGTACAAGACAGTGAAGCAGTACAACGAGAACTTCACTCTGCTGCAGTGCACCAGTGCGTATCCTCTAGACCCCAAAGATGTCAACCTCAAAGTGATCAAGGTAAAATGAATAGTATCCTCTTCCAGCCAATCACAATGTAGGCATATAGTCGTTGGTGATTTATGTCCAACCAGTTTTCCTAGTTTCACATTAACAGTGTTCTGGTTAATTCATCACACTGCATGTACACAGACATCCCAACTGACAACTGGCACAAGGCTCTACATTATTGTAGTCCAGGGGTGGCCAACCAGTCAAGGGGCTAAGATCCACCATCTTTACTGTCTTAGCCAAATGATATACAGTACATGTGCACGTGTGAACTGCCCCATCCCTTAAAAAAATAAATAAATAAACTTCTCCTATTCTTTTAAAACGTCCTGCGTACAACTTTTCATCTGTGCGAATTGGGTTTTCCCTAAGACGTAAGAGCCGCATGAAACCGGGCAAAGAGCCACATGTGGCTCCTGAGCCACAGGTTGGCCATGCCTGATGTAGTCTAATGTGAAGTAGGTTTTGTTCATTGTATTTTTGTGTAATTCTCCTTCAGTCATGCTCTCATGTGGAAACAGCGAAATGAGTACAGTCAAGTCTGAAAACAGATCAAATCTATCCTGAGAACTGATTGGTCTACTTAGCCAAACTCACTAACCCATGAACATGTGTCGCCTGGAGAGTTCCGTTAGGCAAAATTTTCTCAAGGAGACGTTTCGCCTCTCATCCAAGAGGCTTCCTCAGTGCGTAGTACTTACTGATGTCAGATACACACTCTCTCTGCTTTGTGGGAACTTTTTTTTTGTTTAGTCAAAATTTCAGCAAATTTAATATTATTTGCGGGCATCATGTAGCCGCTGCAGAAATACCTGGAAGTCTTGGTATGTCTGTGTACATATTTGACCTGATCTGATAAAATATACTTAAAATATACTTAAATATTTGATTCAATGTACAATTGACCAATGTTTTTCTGTGTAGACACTGTGGCATATTAAAACCTAAATTCATGATGAGATGTGTTCCCCGTTCTATTACCAAAGTAGTACAATGACTAATCCCTGTGGTACTCCAAGAATGACCAGATTGCTTAGTCTGACCTTTGTTGATTTCCTGCATCTTAATACTGTTGCAATGAATACCATTTCTTTTCTCTCATATCAACACCGTAGTGTGAGGTTAGGCTCCCACCCTTCGTCAGAATGGCTTTTGGTAGAAGAGAGCTGTTAATATAATCTTGAAAATGACTCCAGTGACTTTACATGACCTTTTTTTTTGGTGGACCTTAAATGCTTTGAGTGTGTTAGGAGCTAAAGTCAAACAATATCTTACATGCTCATTGGTCACAACTGGAGAATAGCTAACAGATGTGTGTGTATCTTGTTTACCTCATTCACAGAGACTAGTGACAACAGCTACGAGTTATGCATTGTCTTAGTTCTGAACATATTAATTTCCTGTGTTACCAAATCAATGCAACCCCAGTGTACAGCAGACTCTCTTTCCAGGTTTTCCCCACAGCGTGGCATTCTAACGCATTTGATCATACGATCAAATGATCGTAATGATGATGAATATTTATTTTATTCCACTTCAGTTTGGTGAGTGCCAATGAAGACCAGTTAGACTGGAATCTGCGGTCTCAGCCAACATGCTTCCCTCCCTCCTTCAACAGACACTCAACAAACAATGGAGGAGGAAGAGCATTTTTGTATGTTGGGACATCGAATCTATATTTGTGCGCATGTGAATGTGTGCGTGTGTGTGTGTGTGTACAAGGGTGTGTGTGACATCATTGTAATACAATACACCATATGGGAGTGTGTGTTTTGTTTTTGTTTTTTTGTTGTTGTTTTTTTCTCAGAGGAGCGTTCCAGGTAATTGGATTTTTCCACTTTTTGGAACTAGACTACTGCTAGTATGCAGCAATACTTCTTTAAGCAGGTGCTCAAGGTCCTATATTTCAGTGTAGTTATAACAGCAGTCACCATAATACTACTTAATAACTGCCTTGCTCCACCTTCAGTGCTGGATAGTATCACCTTTCATTTTCCAGAATTGGTTTGAAATTAACCAAAAATAAATGCATGAAATTTGTTTCATCTTCCATAAACACAGTAAATAAAGTTTCTATTCAATCCAGCAGGAGGTGCTACAAGGCAGCTTAATGCCCTGGTCTTCAATTTGCACAAACCTTGACCATTAATGTCTCTTTAGTGTTTAGTACTGAAACCTAGTGTTTAATAGAATTTATACACAAACTATTTATGGAGTAGGGACCTCCTCCATATATTTAATGTATACAACTGTGTTTTATACTAAATGGACCTAGTGCTTTGTAAAAACATACATCATTTTTAATCATCAAATACAATTGTAATCAACTAATACAGGTCCATGTATTTATGTTTTAATTTTACACGTCTAAGATACTGTGAGAGGAGAGGTCGGGTCTGTGCATTTATTAACTTTTCTTTTCCTGCCAAAGCCATGTTGATAGGCCTGTCAGTTGATTAAAATTGTTCATCTGATTAATCGGTGTAGCTGTGATTTTATCATGATTAATCACAACCGTAATTTGCTGTCATTAATCATGACTTATTAAGATAAATTAGCATTCCATTTGAAGAAAATATGTTCTTTCACCTGTATATTGTTGGAATTGAAGCATAAATGCAGCAGGTGCATTTATGTTTTTCATACTTATTGTAACCAGTCCAAATTATTGAACTCTTCATCTTCTTCTGCCTTCTAATACCTTTTGTCATTCATAGCTATATTTTATACTGTAGTATTAAGATTGTATTGTATGTTGAATCGATTTTTTATTTAAAAAAAGGGTTTAGCACCATTTAGGGTTAGTTGTGCAAAAATAATATAAAAAATAATAATAGGGAAAAACAAACTACAAATCACAGACTGCAAACATTAGAAGAAATTCATTCTATTTCATTTCTTCTTAAGGAATATCAGAAGGAATTCCCTGATGTTCCCATTGGATACTCTGGACATGAGCAAGGGATCTGCATCACGGTGGCCGCAGTCGCAATGGGAGCAAAGGTTGTGGAGCGCCATGTGACCCTGGATAAAACCTTGAGGGGAAATGACCACGAGGCTTCTCTGGAGCCAGCTGAGCTTGCAGAGTTGGTTCGATCCATCCGACTAGTGGAAATGGCCATGGGGTCAACCGTGAAGCAGATGCTGCCATGTGAGAAAAACTGCCACGATAAGGTGGGTTAAATTCCTGTTGTACGTAAAGATATGTTTTTTCCTACAACATTTAACAGCTGATTTTATGAATAATAAAAAGTACATACAGTTATTGAAGTATTGGTAATCCGGGATGTATGATTGCTTATTACTACCACTAAAAAACAAATATAAGACTGACGATTGGTTGATGTGTTGTCTTGCTAAATTTCTGTCTGTGTTTGTTTTCTTACAATTTGACGCCATATTTTTTGTTTCTTTTTTCTCTGTTTTTCCATTTTAGTTGGGCAAGTCTGTGGTGGCCAAGGTAGCCATTAGCAAAGGCACAGTGCTGAGTTTGGATTTGTTCGCTGTGAAAGTAGGTGAACCGAGGGGCATCTCTCCAGAGAATATGCAGCAGCTGGTGGGCAAAAAGCTAAATGTGGACGTGGAGGAGGACGAGAGCATCCTGGCAAATATGATAGAATAATAATCTACCAAGATTGTTAGGAAGAAAGGGCACACAGAGAGCGACATAGAAAGACGGGGAATTAAGATGGGGGAGGACAGTGTAAGAGTAGAAGGTGGACAGGCAGTCTGAGGGTGAGAACAGAACAGAAAGACAAAATCCACAGTGTCAAATGAGAATATGTGTGTTTGATGAAAGGACGAAAGAAGGGAGTGTGAAGAAGAGCAGTGATATCAAGAAAACAATACTACATGCTGTGCTGAATGCTGACAAGCGATTTGTTGGTGTGAAATATTATTAGAGTCTAGTTTTATTAATGTGGTTCATCATCCTGTTACATGTTTCCACAGCCAGGGCAGTAAAGACCAAAAACAAATGAAAATGACGGGACAAAAAAAGTCTCAGTGTAGTGTAATCGTTGTTTTGCACAATGTTTACACCACTTGGCTGATGTTGTAAATTACAGTTACACCCCTGCACTCACATTTTTTTAAACCACAACCACTTAATCTGGTAATATTTGCACACCCAACACTGGGAATGCACACTGATAAGAATTCTTATTCATGGTAATCGTTTGAAATGCGTCCCTAAGCAGTTATTTAGGCTGTGAAGTGTATTTAAATATGTGGGAGTGGTCACATTTCTATCTCTCTATATGCTTAGCTGCCTGTACTTACAAGGGTTGCTTCAAAATGTAATGGGATTTGTCCTTCATCTGTAGTCTTTGAAAAGTAGTCAGGTTTCTGTGTAGCTTCATTTTGAAGTAAAACTTTGAATGAATGAATTCTGTGTTGTCGTGCTTTTTTGAGTCCCATTTGTCTTCCACCCAGTGTTATGTGCACATTTCTTCTCTATTTGTATCCAGAACAAATCACAAAATTATCATATCATTATCATAACATGTCCAAAGTTATGTTATATTTGTTATAATTATAATTATGTTATAATTATCACAAAGCAGTTGATGTAGTCTATGGTAGACTACTAAAAACATAAAAGCAAGAAAACCAACAGTTGACAAAAAACAAAAACAAAACTTGTTTAAAGCCTTCAGTCAGGAATCAATGGAAAAAACAAATCGTACAACTGAATACAAATCTACATAAGTTCTATGTATAAGTTAACATTTAAATTCAACCTTTCATGTACAGGTTGAGTGAAGGTCTCAAGAGACCACCATTTCAATAGTTTGTAAAACCAAACAAATCCTATTCTTTTCCATTTATTTGGCTTTATAACTGCTAAAGTACTAATTGCAGTAATAATTGCATAATAACTTTATAATAACTAACAAGAGTCCAGATTTTCGTGGATGGGATTTACCGAGAAAGGGCGTGGTCTACTCACTGACCAATCCTCATCGGTGCAATTCACACGAGACTTTAGATGATGTTTGAGTGTGACTAACGGGTTCGGTGCTTGTTTTTCGTTAGAATCCCCTAATTTTAATTGAATGGGTAATAATTATTAATTATAATTTATTATAATTTAAGGGAAAATACCTCACCGGGACAAAATTGGTCTAAAAGTGTATGTGAGTTATTCCACAGAACCGGAAGTGGTCACACCAGCAGGGTGTGCGTCATACTAACGGTTCCGGGTTTTTTCCCCACAATTACAGCTCATTGCTACTTCAGCCTTAACCGTCTTCTGATAAAACCTTCAGTTTACCAGCAACAAAATGCCGCTAAAGTTTGAGTTATGTCCCGGTAGAATGATCGGTGGTAACCATCCGTGCTTCATCATAGCTGAAATTGGACAAAACCACCAGGGAGACATTGAGATTGCAAAGAAAATGATAAAAATGGCAAAGGTATTAACACACTCAAACATCACGTAATGTTCCAGTCATTCTTTTATTCACTCACATCGCTCGTTACTCTTTACTGTTTAAAAATACAGCTCTTTACTGAAACACATTTTATTTGAAAAGAAATCAAACTATCTGCGTGGCTTCTGGTCAACACCCTCAACCGTTCTATTAATGTTGATTTAGTCGTACGTTATCGCACATAGTAAAACACAATCGTCATGTTTGCAATGGAGATTTAAACCACCACAGAGTAGCCCAAAACTGTTTCTAATATGTAAATTCAGAAGAAAAATGCAAAGAGATGTTTCAATCTTCCACTACGGCCAGTATTATTGTACGTCTGCAATTCTATTCTTTTTGGTGATTAAGCTTTGAAATTTCAATAAATAAATAAATATCGCAGTATGTACTTAATAAAATGGAAAAGAATGGTTAAATGTTTTAGGTTTAGGCAGCTGTGATTTCTAACATGATTGTAACCATTGTTCCAGCATAAGTTAACTGTTTATCGTCGTTAACAGGATTGTGGAGCGGACTGTGCTAAGTTTCAGAAGAGTGAATTAGAGCACAAATTTAACAAACGAGCTTTGGAGCGACCCTACACCTCTAAACATTCCTGGGGAAAAACCTACGGTGAACACAAGCGCCACCTGGAATTTAGCCACGATCAGTACAGGGAGCTGCAGAAATATGCAGAGGAGGTCGGGATTTTCTTCACGGCCTCAGGCATGGATGAGGTATAAAGGTTTGATGACATCGTAAAGGTCGAGCTAGTAGAAGTTGAAATGAACCCTTGGTTTTTTCTGCCTCTAGATGGCAGTAGAGTTTCTACATGAGCTCAATGTGCCGTTCTTCAAAGTAGGATCAGGAGACACCAACAATTTTCCCTACCTAGAGAAGACGTCCAAGAAAGGTGAGCAGTGACTGTCAGTTTATTATATTATTCGTTTTAGTGGGATTTAATGTTATGAAGTAAAAGCTGAAACAACCTAAGACAATCTTAAGCCTTGGTCATTTCCTAATGAATGGTATAGTAACCTTTTTGGGCAGGTTGGATTACTACTACATTATATATTGCATGCATTAAGTACTTGGTATATGCAAATAGAATTCAGGAAAGATACAGAGCAGACTTTTGGATCAGTTTAAATAGTAATGGAAAAGAACACTGTGCCTATATTTTTCTTAAATTACTCTGCATCACAAAGTGAAATAATTCTACTGCTATCATTTCTGTGTTTGTCAGGACGTCCTATGGTAGTGTCCAGTGGGATGCAGTCCATGGAGACAATGCGCCGGGTCTACAATACTGTGAAAAAACACAATGAGAACTTTGCCATCTTGCAGTGCACCAGCGCCTATCCCCTGGAAGCTGAAGACGTCAACCTCAGAGTGATCGCTGTAAGACAAATGTCCCTGGACATTCTTATTACATGTATATGTATGGGTTTTGGCGACACAGCAACAAATTGCTGTAGGTTGACGGTGTCGTAAACCGAGGACCCCGTAGACCAGCAACATTTATTCAATCATTATTTACAGTATTCTGGTTTCCAACATACAATAATCATGACTCATGCTTGTCAATTACTTGACTCTAAACAGGAATATCAGAAGGAGTTCCCTGACATTCCTATTGGTTATTCTGGCCATGAGTCTGGGATCAGTATCTCTGTGGCAGCTGTAGCACTTGGGGCGAAGGTCATTGAGCGTCACGTAACCTTGGACAAGACATGGAAGGGAAGTGACCATGCAGCGTCGTTGGTGCCCTCTGAGCTTTCCGAACTGGTCCAGGCGATCAGGCTTGTGGAAAGAGCTCTGGGTAACAGCATCAAGCAGATGTTGCCCTGTGAAAAGCCATGTCATGACAAGGTGATGTATCTTCAAACAACACGTCCAGCTCACTGTGACGTTCACGTTTTCTGTCTTTGCTCATTGGTTAATATAATGAACTAAAGTTTCTTTTCACCAGTTGGGTAAATCGGTGGTCGCCAAGGTGAGGATTCCCAAAGGAGCTGTCCTATCTGTGGACATGTTGACGGTGAAAGTAGCCGAGCCCATGGGTGTAGCAGCTGAGGACATCTTCCAACTGGTGGGTAAGACTGTTTTGGAGGACGTGGAAGAGGACGAGAGCATTGTGCCAGGAGTGGTGGACAATTATGGGAAAAAAGCTAAGTGCTGAAAAATGCTCAAAGAGGATGAACATCACACTCCAGTGTATGCTGGAGTGTGATGGTCATTCTATTCATACTGTAGGCAACCTGATCTTCAGGTCATGGATGGACAGGGAGCATGAGCTGTAATTGGACATTTGTGACATGAATGGAAGTCATGTAAATGATCAAACTCTTTGATTCAGCAGTCATCCTTTTAATTTCCGTGCCAAAAATGCTAATGGTGGCCTTAATGATCCTTACATGATTTTTGCTAGCTTCAGTGATGCACTGTCGTAATCTACGAGAATCCTGGAAGCTCTTTCATTTCAATTTAGAGATTATCAGTACTGGTAGTTTCTACTGCAGCTGCAAATTGTCTCAAACTGCACTGATTTTACAGTTCCTACATTTCATTTAGAAGTCTAAAGGAGCGGTGTTTTCATTGAAGAATAATTTTTTTGTGAATGATTTTGGGAACATGTCAGCCTAGTCTTTAGTTATTTAAAAGAAAATCCTGATGTTTGCTGTTTCCTCATCTATTTAAATTTGGTTTAAAAATAGATGTTAGCTCAGGTTTAACTGGGAGACATGTCTTACATAGTTAACTTGTTTACATCTGTAATCTTTGAAAATTGTCATTCAACTGTCTTGGACATTATTGACTTACCCCTGTACGTCTGATCACTTATCATGTAAGGATCATGTTGTTATACTGTTGTAAAATGTTGACGCTCAAATATACTGTAATCATTGAGTAACAAAAGATGTAGCCTTCAAAATAAAATGCCAATATTGCATTTAGTCCAATAATTTTCATCCATTGTTGAAAAAAATGTCTCTTTCCATTGAATTGTCCTCGGAGGAGGTGAAGGTCACTGTCATGTTGGGACTCTCAGCTTGTAAGGTGATGACGATTCTTTCTGTTTTTCAATCCAAAACAACTTTAAAATCCAGACCGTGATACAGTGCAGGGATGAGAAGATAGATAGAATTTTAAAAAATTGTCATCACTCACTCAACACAATCTTCTAAAAATAAATTCCCTGCTATTTTAAGTGAATGTGACCATGTAGGAAAACACAGAAGTCATTTTCTTTCCTCATTTATTGTAACCTCAACCCTAAACTGCCACCAAAGTTCCCGTGAGGTTCTCCCCTGCATGCCAAGGGACTTATTTGTGTTTGAATCTCTGCAGGCGATGTTCTTCAGCCGCACTAACTTGGTTGGTTATGTAACCAGGGTAACCCTTCTGTACTTTACATAGATCCTAATCCAATAGCACTTGTGTCTTATTTAACGGAGAACAAGAAAACATTTCCTTGTGTTTTCACTGCTCTGTTGGATGACCATATTTGATTATCAATAGCTGCATCACTTGATTAAACTGACTTTACTTACTGTACAGTTGCTGAGGTGGAGCGACGACAACATTTCAGGAACCAACCCTCAACTCCCCAGCTGGAGTTTGACCTGACTTGAAGCCAGTGTATTAATACAGGGACATTATATGTTAAGTGTTAGAAGGTATAATTTGGTCAAAATGATGCGATTGCACAGTTATGGGTCACAGTCCCTGTCTGTGCGAGGGACGACACCTGCATGTGTCAGTAGGCTTTATTATTGTGCTATAAATGGAGAATGGTTTCTTAAGAACAAGCGTTGTGCTCAAAGCCAATTAGCGACTTGTGAGACAAGACAGGGAAGCCTGGGGAAGACGAACTGTTGACTGACATGTTCAATGCAAAGAACAATTAATATATTGTTTTAATAGCCAACAATGTAGAAATAATTTGGATGAAATATTGTGATTATGAATGGGCAACGTAAAGCTGTTCAAATCTTTACCGCAATTATTCCTGTGAACTACTTTTTCTTTTTTTCTTTTTTTACATCACAGACCTTTAAGGATAGTTTTCAGAATCTTTATGATCTGATGTCACGAAGGCTTCAACTCCAATGCGGTTCATAATCTCATCCTGTGTATTTTTTTGGGATGTTGGGTGGGAAAGAAATGACACCAATTGCTAGGGCGAAACGGGATATGATAAGGAGGGCGGGGCTTAACAGACAGAGCTGATGCTCATTCTTGGAGAGTGGCATGAAGAGGACAGAAAGGAGAAGGGAGGCAGACTCAGAGAGAGGAGGCAGGAACATAGACAAGGGGAGAGGAACACTTGGTCCTTAGTGTCTGTGCAGGAGCTCCACCTCTGCTGGTGCAGGGAATCTCACCGAGGACTTTCCTCTGGATTGCACTGAGCACGTCTGCCCTTTGGAGCTTCTACCCTGGAATTCAGTTTTGTGGACAAACCAACATAGAGAGTGTGTGTCTGCCAACCTACTAGAACTTCCTGCTAAACTGGAAATATCAAGTAGTGGTAAGACAAATATAATACAAATATTAATGACAATAATAATGCAAATGATGCTCATTTGTAATGACTTGAGTTGATGTGATGACAGAATAGTTACTGTTACTGTTGAACCCTGATATTAATTCTGGTTTAAACAAAAGCTGCAGGTCATAACAATGTGCTGCTAACGTGTCATTCTAAGAACTAATGTTGTAAGAAAGCCATCGTCACTTTAGAGTTTGTTTTTTAATCTAAAAATCTTTGACTTTGCTGAAGCAGCAGTGTTCTGACTGGAGGCTGATCTAAGTATATCTTCTCAGGGATTAAATAGCTCCTTAAGGAGCTTTCACTAATGTCAAAGCTTCACCTAAGTGGAAGCTGTTACTGCAGCCTCTCAACACCATACAACAGAGATCACAAACCTTCAGCAAAACCCAAAAATTATTATTGTTTTTTATTGGTTAAATTTAACAGCAGATAAAACGGCTGATGTGTGTAAGCAAACATGTCCAACCACATTGTATCATCTGTAAACATAAGTTAGCAATCTTTTATTTTTGTTTTGGGAATACTAGTAATGTATGCCCTTGTATCTACATAGGAAACTAGTAAATACTATTGTGCAGATATGTTACCTGCTGAAAACAGTTTTATTACCGCGCAGCAAACATCAATGAAAACAAACATCAGGATTTTTACTATAATCACACTACTCAGTAACAAAAAATAAAAACAACATGAAGAAACATAAAACATAAAAATGTATGCTTCAATGTAATAATTTAAATCAATTTCAAGCCATTTCATAAAACATAAAAATGTATGCTTCAATTTAATACTTTTAATTATATCAATTTCAAGCCATTTAAAAAAACTATAGTATTCACATTATTTTTATTAATTCAATATAATGTCAAAAACTGAAAAAAAAATTAATCAAATTAATTTTGTTGTGCCTGCAATTCTCCATCACCCTAGCATCAGTTCTGATAGGCGAGGGATTTGAGATGTCATTCCACTGACATCAAAACAAAAGCTGGCAAATACATTTACTGTAGCACAAACATAAACAAAAACATAAAGACTAGGGCAGTGATCATCAACTGGTGGCCCAGGGACAGAATCTGTCCAGTCCGGCCTGAACATCAAATAATAATGTTACACAATATTTCCGTTCTACAGATTTCATTATACCTGCTGTACATGTTTTTTTTTCTTTTCCTTGTGTCATTCAGGGAGTAATATGAGGAAACCTTTAAATGGGCTAGATCCAGGAATCAGATGCCAAGGAATTCTCCACTGTATATAAACTGGACAGGAGCATGTCAAGGAATCAAGGACGGTGAAATCCTGTGGCCTGACGTAACCCCATTTCTTCAGCCACCAGCTCCACCAACCTACGTTTTGGATTTTACTCCAGACATTCTCACTGTACCTGACAACGTCCTTCAAGACCATGGATCTCATGCTACCAATAAAAAACCAAGACGTCTTTCATTCTCCAAGCTCCGCTCCCCGGGGGTCCCACAGCTGCTGTTCCAGACGCCACTATGAAAACATCAAGAAAAAGCTGCGGCCCGGGCGTATACTGGGCTTCGTCCTCAGCCTGGTGGTGGTCTGCACAGCCTCTTCATGGAGTGCCTTGTCAATAGCCACATCAGTGGCCACAGGGCTGATGTCAGATGTGGGAGACTCAGCAGTAGCAGCAGTGCCCCCTAGGACTCTTTTGCAGTACAATAACCTGTCCGCGGCACCAGGAGACACATCTGTGTCAACAAAGTCGGATGAAATTGAAATGAATCATGGGGATTACCCAAAAGACTACTTCACAGTGGAGGAAAGACGTCAGGGCTATGTGGTGCTTCATATGTTTGGGATGATGTACATGTTCATAGCCTTAGCCATTGTGTGTGATGAGTTTTTCGTCCCTGCCCTGACTGTCATCACAGAGAAGCTGGAGATCTCTGATGATGTAGCCGGAGCCACCTTCATGGCAGCGGGCGGATCTGCCCCGGAGCTCTTTACCTCTGTTATCGGAGTCTTTGTTTCCCACAGCAATGTGGGAATTGGAACCATCGTGGGCTCGGCTGTGTTCAACATTCTGTTTGTGATTGGGATGTGTGCCCTGTTCTCCAAGGAAGTGCTGCACCTCACTTGGTGGCCTCTGTTCAGAGACGTCTCGTTCTACATCATCGGCCTGCTCATGCTCATATACTTCTTTCTGGATAATCAGATCGTGCTGACAGAGAGCATTAGTCTGCTGTGCTGCTATTCTGCTTATGTGACATTCATGAAGTTCAATTCCAAGGTGGAGCTTTTCATCAAGTCCAGGATGGGCAGCAACCAGGTGAAAGAGTTACCGACTGCCCCAAAGGTGAGCCTAACCCATCCATCCATCCATCCAACCATCCATCTATCTATCTATCCATCCATCCAACCAACCAACCAACCATCCATCCATCCATCCATCCATCCATCATCCTTCCAATCCTCATCCACATATGCACAGATGCTCATTTGATATCTGTCATATCAAACCTGCAATAATCTAGGTGTATTGCATACAGAACTTGTAAGAACTTGTTCTTACAAGTTCTGCTTGTTTTGCTGCTCATGCAAACAACTGCAATTTTATCTTCTTCTTCACTGTGTGACACATTCCCAGATATTTACCTGTCAAGACTAGAGTAGAAGATTCATCTCCTGCAGCTATTCTCACTCTATAATCCATGGGCTCTTCGTCTGTGCTTACGATGAGTTTTTCTGTTTTCATCGTGGATGATGAAGCCCATTGAATCAAATACGTTTCAGTTTATAAAGACAGATTTTTCTTAGCAGAAAAAAAATATGATTTTAATGCTATTTGAAGAATGCTACACTATTTCTCTACAGTGTCGATATAATTGGCTAATTAGTACAGTACAAGAGTCTGATCTGGTCAGATTTAAAATGCTTTTTGATGGTTAGCTCTTAGTGGTATTAAACACTACAGTAAGTTAAATAAATACTTTAGCTTTTTTTACTTTAGCTGGTTTGTTCTGTATCTCTCAACACAATAACACATGTAAAGTGAACTCTGACTTCTGAAATCATTTGATGATTATTGACATTGTAGCCAAGGTGGTTGTGGGGCTACATAGTAGCATTTAATAACATCCAGGAGGTTTACAAACTACTGAAAACTCTGTGTAACTCTGTCAAAGTATTAGTGTTATGGCAGAAGCTCCCTTTGACTTTAGTGCCCTTGTGGGAATCAGCTGGTCATTAGGCTGCCTCCCTCAGCCCAAGAAAAGCTTTTCCCTTTCAGTTGTCTGACACTTCATGTACCAGTGCCTTGCCTTCATGTGTCGGGAACTGCTAAATAATCCTCTCAGCTAATGCTGTTTGATCCAATTAGAGTGACCAAGAATAGTGAGATGCTCCTTTGAGAAGCAGGAATCAGCACATCACTGGGGGGGGGGGGGACTCTTGACTCTTGAATCAAAA